TGCCAAGTTCTACGGGTCTCTGAAGATTGCCTGGAGCTTTAGAGACCAGTGCCCAGCCCCTCTGCATACTGTCTTTCGGTCTCTGGGGAGGGATCTGGTCTCCAGCCATTTTTTAAACTTCCCAAGAGATTCTGATGTTGGTCAGAATGAGATCTGCTGCCTGGAGGAGTCCAGCCATGAGGAAGGAGCTTTCGGCATTAGATAAGTCTGAGATTAACTCCTTTCCCAGGACCTGAAGGAGGCATTGCACTGTGAGAAGCCAGTGATGTCTGAGACGGGCCAAAAGCCATGGCAAACACATTCTCTAGTGCTCTGGGAAGCTGTTGCCATGCTCTCACTGATCAAAAGCAATGGCAAGTCCAGAAAGGTGAAGGAAAGAATGTCCTAAGTCAGAGCTATTCAGTTTATAGGCAACAATGAAAGCAGAAGTTCACGACTGCTGTGAGCTTGTCCTGGCAGTGGTGACCAAGGCTTGAAGAATTCTTTGCTCTGTTTCCAGCAGGCAGTCACAGCAGGCCAGTCGGCCTCGGCTCTGGGCTCTGTTCTGCCAACTGGTGACGCCTGTCCCAGCTCCACTTCCTTTCTCTGATGTGACCCCAAACGCCTCGGTGGAACTTGCATTCATGTCACACTCAAGTTTTCTTGTGCCTGGGATTTTATGTCACACTTAATTCTCAGATTCTAACTCGGACACTCAGAGGCTGTTTAGCTCTTCTTGAGTCTTAGTTTCTGTGTAAAATAGGGGTGCTAAGGCCCATCGCTGATGATCATTAAGCAGGTGAAATGACAAAACGTCCTCAGAGGGTCTGGCCCGTGGTAGTTGCTTGCATGTCAGCCCCATTGCTCCTTAAGTCACCACCCTTTAAAAATAATGTTCATGACTTGACTCTAATAATAGCTTCTCCCAGACAGATTTTGTGTTTTAGGGAATGGGGTGTTGCAATCAATGCTCCAGATTCAGAATTCTAATGTATGCACTGTATTCTGATTTTGCCCTGTAACTGGATCACAGAGACTGCCATGATATAAATGCAGTTAGGATTTATTAAAGAGCCGGTGTGCACATACAGTGAGTTATGGTGCTAAGGAGGAGGTGGAGGACCAATAAATATGTGTGATGGTGCTAATATCCATTTTGTATAGTGGCTGCAATGCGGAGAATTTTAGCATGGGCAGATTTCATTGACTGTGTGTGGGTCAGAGTGCGGTGGGAGAATGAGACAGAGGATCCCATCTCTGCCCGCCTCTCTAGGAGCTGAGCACAGGCCCGTGGGGTGGTCCCCCGGGCTCTGCACAGGCACAGGGTGTTCTTAGAGAACCGTGCTGCCTTTAAGGGAAAAGTAGAGTCATCTTCCATGACTGTCACTCTCTTTCCTCCAGATGATGACACAGCGCCAATCTCCAATTAATATGTTCCTGAAGTGTTCTTTCACACCTTTTTTTCATGTTCTCCTCACCCACATGCTTCTGAGAATTAGAGTCTTTTTCCTCCTAGGAACCACAAAACCTTGATTTGGTGAGGAAGGACTTTGTTTGTGTTGGGAGGACAAGCAGGGGGCTGTGGGGAGGGGCGTGCCCGTGGCTGCCGTTGGAGCAGACTGGCCCGCGAGCTGAGCTGAGTCCTTGCTCGGGGCCTGCCAGCGCTGCTCCAGTGCGCCCGGCTGGGACTTGGAGTTCTGACAGAGGAGGGAAGACAAGCTGTCATGGGTTTTCCATTGATTTCAAGCACTCTTTGAACCTAGTAATTATCTCCTCCATTGACATTATAATCTTGGTTATAATGTAAGCATATCATAGTTCCAGCCTCTGGCCTTGTTACTTTCTGACTGTGGGTATTTAAATTAAGCTTTGAAACACTCCTTTCTCCTCCAGAGAACATTTGATCATCAAGGCAGCACTCCTGCCTTTCTCAGAAGGCTTTCTGAAGGACGGGAGAAGCCCTCCGTGTTGGGAGGTGGTACCGTGATTGACAGCTCTTTGGGCGGGCGGGGTTTTTCTTTGAGAATTTAAAACCAAAGGAACTCTCACTTCTTGTTCCAAGTTTGCATTGCTTCTCAAGTTCTTTGGTTGGAGAGTCCTCTGGCTCCTTTCTGGGGAAGCTTCTGCACCCAGCTCCTACTGCCTGCCATCTGTCTGTCTGTCTATGTGTCCATGTCTGGCATAAGATTCCAACAGTTCTTGCAGCAAGAGTCTGTGGGTCTGGTGGGAAGGGGTGAATTTTCTAAGTATCTGTGCATCTGAAAATGCCCTTGATCACCTGGACTGTTCGCTGATGATGATAGTGGGTTCTGGGTGTACGTTTCTTTTCCCCTGGCCCTGGGATGCACAGGTTGCCAGGAAGGGGGTCCTCACCAGAAGGCAAACATGCTGGGGTCTTGATCTTAGACTTTTCAGCCTCCAGAACTGTATGCAATAAATTTCTGTTTATAGGCCACCCAGTCTGGATTTTGTTGTGGCAGCCGGAAGAGACTAAAGCATTCATGTTAGAGAAACCATGGGGGCAGGAAGGAGAGGGGGCCCAGAGGGAGCAGATCGGGGAGGCCTCGAAGAGGCTAAGGAGTCCAAAAGGGCCCATTGAGGAGAACTGCCGTGCTTGCAGACAGAAGCCAGAGCACAGAGTGCAAAACTTCAAGAAAGGGGTGGCTGGAGAGGAAATGAGGTAGGGTCAAGCTGTGGGGGAGGGTGCTGAAGGGCCAGTGACACCACGGCTGTGCAGGCAGCTCGTGGCCAGCAGTCACTTACAGCACCACCTGGTCAGGTGCACCTGTTGGTTGTGAGTACCGAGGCCCAGCACCCACCCACTGCTAACGGCACCCACTTCTCTGTGAGCAGCCACACAGGAAGTGCACTGAGTGGCTAAGTGGAGGTTGTTAGCTGTGATGTGGCTGGGAGCGCCATGGGAGTCCGGCCGCCTGGCAGCACGGGGTCCTTGGTTTGTGCTGCCTGGGTGACCAGGGCTCTAGGTGCTCCACCTGCACCCGCCCTGTGTCCCTTCTGCCAGCTTCCTGCCATCCCTCCAGTGACCCCATTCCTGCTTAACTTAACTGTTGCTAGTTTCTTACAACCAGAGCTGCCTCACCAAACCCAGCCGCCAATAACTTAGTTGTTGGCTGCCAAGGACCTTGGTTTGCTCGGTGGTGGTCTATCTCTAGTGCCTTTTTTGACGGCATGGACAACAGACAAGGCTTCCAAACAAAACTAAATTCTCCAAAAAGTGTCTTCTAATACGGAAAAAAAAATCCTCATTAGGATTCACGGAAGAGTATGTTTTTGCATAGGCTGAGTGTGTGTGTGTTTATCTGGGCTCCTCACCAAAGACATCGTCAGCTGTGCTGTGGACAGGAGTGGCTTTTCTGGCCTATCACATCGTCTCAGGAGTGGGTGAGAGTGGACCTTTGATGTGGCAGCTGCTGATCTGCTGGCCCCATGGACTCCACTTATGCCACATGTATGTGATGGCCTAGCCCCTGGAGAGAGCAGGCATTGAGCTTTCGAATAGATGTTTGATGTGCAAACTAGAAACGCCTCACTTCTGGGGCTTTCTTTTCACCCTGCATATCTTCGTGAGAGGATGTGACAGAGCTTCCTTCCACATACCAACAGCAGAGCAATTGTGATGAACATGCAGTTTTATTCAGGTAGTTCCTTTTTGAAATAAAAAAAGGTTCATATCCACATGAGATGTTTTCTTTTTCTGGAAGCAATTATTGTTGCTGTATTTAACAGATGGCTGATAAATATTTACCAATCCAGGCAGCCTCCTGGCAGATGTGGACAGGACTAGGGGAGATTCGTGGCCTTGTCTGGCAGCCTGGAGCTGAGAATCTGGAGGCCAGGGTCTGAGGTCTCCTTTGCTGCGGGCAGGGACGCCTTGCAAGGCTCACCTCCAGTCTCGGGGCCTCAGCTTCCTCCTCTGGGAACTCAGGGGCTGGACTGGATGGCATCTCAGGTCCTGGCAGGGCTGAGTTCCTCTGGCTGCAGCACCTGGACAGACTTTCTGTCCCAGGGGCCATTCGCGCACGCCTGGTGGCTGCTTGCCCGGCTCCTACAGCCCCCTGAGACCAGAGGAGCCTTTTCCCTGTGGGGGTTTGTCATGGATGGACAGAACCCCCCCCAATCATCCCCAGGTGCCCTTGGGGTTCCCTGGGGGCATGCCCATCTCAGCAGTGACCCACGTGGCTTTTTAAATTTGTTACATTAGGGATTTCTCATACTTCTAGTAGAAATAGATTTTGTCCCCTTCTATTCTGGAGATTTTTCTCTTTCCAGGCTCAGATCTGAAGGAGATGGTGTCCCTTGGAGGTTTTCAGCCCCGTGGCAGGTTGAGAGGGGAGGACAGCCGCCCAGGAGTCAGGAGGCCTGGCGTGCAACCCCAGGGCTGCTGTTAAAGCTCTTATCCGTAGGGATGATGGTCTAGACTGGGACCATCACCAAGGGCGTGCCCAAGGGCCAGCGTCTTATTGCAGGGGCAGCTGGGACCAACCTTTTAGTAGCTATTCTCAAAATTACCAGTTTGGCCAAGAACGGAAAATAATAGGTTTTTTTCTATTTATACTGCCCTGCTCATTAGCGTGCACGATACAAAGGCCGGAGTTGCTGAAGCAATATAAACAAATTCTGATTGATATTCAGGGCTCAGCCATGGGATTGCTTCAAATTTCAAATTTTCTAACCATTAATTCTCCTTGGCTGAGTCACATTGTGGAAGAATACTTCATTGGAAACAGCCTCAGACAGTAGCATGGACAGCAACAGAGAGAAGCCCTGTCAGAGCAGAAACACCTAGAAAGGAAATGCTGACAATAAAGAAAATTGGCGTAATGTCAACAACTGAGTTGAAAGTATTTATCTGGAAACCCTGGGCATGTGGGGGTGGGGCTGTGACGGCGAGTGACTGCGGTTTCAGGGAAAATGGAGAAGCATGTGGCCAGGTTTAGAAAGCCAGAAACTCAGTTCTTTCAATAGCTGTCCTGGTTTTTAACTAGCATTGTCCTTTCCAGGTTGCCCACCTCTTGGTCTGGAAACCTTAAAGATCACAGACTTCCAGCTGCATGCATCCACCTCGAAGCGCTATGGTCTTGGGGCACATCGAGGGAGACTCAACATCCAGGTACAGCGCCGCGGGAAGCATTGTGGTCGCATGGCTGGCTGCTAGGTGACGGGTGACTGAGCTTGGGTCAGGTACCACACACGACATTTAAGATGGGTTGGCTCTAGTTCTCACATGGGAAGGGCACTGCTGCAGACCGCTCATTTTACAGAGAGAGCCCTGAGCCCCAGGACACGTGCCTTCTCCAAAGCCCATCAAGGAAAAGGATGCTGCTGGGACCTGGACCCAGGTTGGTCTACGTCCCCATGATCTGTCTGCAAAGGGCAGGAGCATGCTGCACCCTGTGGGCATTTGTCCTCTCGCGCCTCCCTGCCAGCACGCCTCACCTCCACCACATACCTTTTCCAGGCTGTTCTGTGGCTCCCCCAGGCCAGATCCTTAGTGGCTCTGCCATGCCCAGCGCCTTGTGACTCACCTTCTTCCCCGGGGCTCTAGAGCCATGTAACCTTGGCCACTACTGCCAAGCTCCTGCTCCAGGAAGTCGCGCTCCTTGCACATTCTGTACCCTGGGTAGTTCTTGACTCTGGGCCTTTACCCAGGAGGCCCCCTGCCCTCAGCTCCCTTCCTGGCACCATGCCCACACAGTGCGAACCCTGTTTGATCCGGTATTATTCCCTCCTGCTGCTCCAAAAACTCACCATAAACGTTGCCATTTATGCAACACAAAATTATTCTCTTACAGTTCAGGAGCATGGAAGTCTCACTGGGCTAAAACCAAGGCCTGAGCAGGGCTGTGTTCGTCTGGAGCTCTAGGACAGAGTATGTTTCTTTGCCTTTTCCAGCTTCTAGAAGTGTCTGCATTTCTTGCTGTGTCTCTCTTCCGTCTTCTCAGCCAGCGATGGCAGGTTGAGTTCTTCTCAAGCTGCCATCTCTCTGGTTCTTTCCCTGCCTCCCTCTTCTACTCTTAAGGACCCTGCAACTGCATTGCCCCCACCTGGATGATACAGGCTCCTCCCCCCATGTCAAGCAACCCTAATGGCGGTTGCATTTCCCTTTGTCACGTACCCTGGCATATTCACAGGTTCTAGGATTAGCAGGTGGACACCTTTGTTGGGAGGGGGTGTGTCCTGCCAGCCCATCTGTGATGCCTTTCCCCTCCTGCTGCAGCTCCTGCTGATCCATCCCTTCTCAGTTCAGCATTTGATCATGTGCTGTCCTGTGTGGTTCTCTCGTATTTTAGTTTTCTTTCTCAGTGTCTCCATAACCAAGTGTGGTCTCCAAACCCTTGTTGTTCATGCACCATCCTACCCAGCCTTCTGGGAGGGAGGTGGTCCTTTCCTCCCTGTGATGGGGGGCCATCAAGGCCAACCACTGAAGTCTGATTTGGTTGACTTGTTTCCTTGGTCTTACCTGCGCCTCCTTGAACAGAGCCCCAGGTTAGAAGGGGCTTTGTCTGTCCTCCTCTCCCTTCCCCGCGAGCCCAAACAGTGCCCACAGGAAGTGCAGGCAGGATGTCATGTGAAGATCTGGCTGAAGTGCAGACGGCAATTTCTTTACTGCCGTGCCTTCGCTGGGCCGTGTGGGAGGTCCCCTTGGAAGACGGGTCATCCAGCAGGGAGCAGCCGCTGGGCCCTCCAGAGGCACACTGCCTGGGCTGAAGGCGCTGGCAGCCACCCTCCTGCCCTCAGTCAGGATGAAAATAAGGGAGTGATGTAAAACCACCTCAGTGCCATCTGTCCTTGGGTGGATTTATTTTTCCTTCAGTGGCTCTTGCCCCAAATGCCCCCTGACAAGCATACCTGTACACCTGCTCCTAGATGTGAAATTGTACTAGTGAGGTCCAAGCCAGCGCCCCCGTCCCCCTGGTCACAGGGTGGTGGCCAGAGAGTGGAGTGTTGTCTGCAGCGGGTGGGAGGGGCTCGGACACACAACGCCCTGCCCTTCAAGGGAACAGTGAGACCAGGTCAGGGCCCATTTTGGGATGGGGCCGTGAGGACCTGGCTGGCTGTGTGGAGTGCCTGCTGCCTTCTAGGAACCTCGCCGGGCTCTGAAACAGCCAAGACGAAAGGCCCCTGTTTATCCTCCTGATGCTTCCGTCCCTAGCAGAGAGGGGGCGGGAATCGGCTCGGATAGGTATCGGCGCTGTGCTCAGCGCTTCCGTGCATTACTTCATTTATCCCTCGACGTGAGACAAGTACTGTTATTACCAACTCTGTCATGTAGAAAACAGACACCGGGCCAGCAGAGTGGCTTTCTTAAGATTTCCTGGAAGAGGCAGCATGTGAGCCAAGCAGTTATTATTCCTAACGACCCCATAAAATGCCCCAAGTCAGCAGATAGACATGTTCTGTGCACACCTGGGGTGACTATTAAACCACGTACATCTCTCTTTTTGAACAATTATCTCACATGGATTTACTCATCTGTCACCCTCACCAAATGACAACCTTCTTGCACGACGTGAGTCTTATTCTTCTGGCGTTCCCACGCTGTTTCAGCACAGTGTCTGCTCAGGCGTACATGCGCAGCTGGCCTTCGTGCAAAATTGCCGCGATGATTAAGGGCGCCGTGGCTGCTGTGAAGATGTCTGCTCCAAGTGGGGGTGTAGGCAGGTCTGCTACTGTGTTTTACTGTCGCGAATTTGCTCATATGTGATTGACAAATACGGGAATGATGTCATTATGACACCAAAGTAGTGTTGGTTCGTGCACCCCTTCCCCCAGTATGTTAATGTTTTGTGGGACCAGGCACCCAGTGTACCAACACAGCTGAGCACAGAAGCCTCCGACCTCCGTCCTGTACACGCTGCTTGTCATGCTGTGTGGCTCAGCGTGGCCAAGTGCTCTGATTTAGGAGGCCTATCACTGAGTTTCTTTGTGCATTTTGCCTTTTCCCCACAACACAGCAGCCTTCCTGCCTCCCCTACACCTTCCATCTCACTGCCTTCACTTTTTTTTTAAGTCAACTCCTATCATTATAGCTGTATTTAATTATTTTAAAGCAATTATGACTTCTTAACTGTGTTAGTGTTCTTTAGGATTGATTTTTTTTTTAAGTCTTCCGATTATAGAATTGCACAGATTTTGAATGGTCTGATAAAACTCTAGCTTTTCCTGTGAGCTTACTTTAACAGTACAAGATTTTGCAGGCCCTGAGCTTTTACTGAATGGCATTTGCCATGTTATAGCAGAAACACCTGTCTCTTTGTCTTAGTCTACTTGCACTGCTATAACAAAATATCGTATGTCGGATAGCTTAAATAGCACAAATTTATTCCTCATGGCTCTGGAGCCTGGGAAGGCCACGATCAGTGTGCTGGCAGAGTGATGTCTGATGAGAGGCCTCTTCTTTGTTCATAGATGGCTGTCTTCTGTGTCCTTAGGTAGTAGAAGGGGCTCTAGGGCTCTGGAGGGCATCCTTTTTATAACAACACTAATCCCATCTGTTCAAGTTTTATCATGAGATTGCAGAAATTCAATTACATTTTCAGACTCCACTTCTAATTCTCATTCTTTTGCTGTTTCTACCACACCTGCAGTTATGTCCCCTGTTGAAGTCTTGAACCCCTTAAAGTCATCTATGAGAGTTGGAATCAACTTCCAAACTCCTATGAATGTTGATATTTTGACCTCTTCCCATGAATCACAAATGTTCTTAATGGCATTTAGAACATGAATCCTTCCTAGAAGGTTTTCAATTTACTTTGCCCAGATCCTTCAGAGGAATTACTGTCTGTGGTACCTATTGGTACCTACTGTCTATGGTACCTATAGCCTTATGAAATCTATTTCTTAATAATAAGACTTGAAAATCAAAATACATCTTGTCCATGGACTGCAGAATGGATATTGTGTTAGCAGGCATGACAACTACACTAATCTTGTACATGTCCATCAGAGTTCTTGGATGACCACACATATTGTCAAAGGGCAGTAAAGGAATCTTCTTTTCTGAGTAGTAGGTCTCAATAATGGGCTTAATATATTCAGTAGACCTGGTTGTAAATAGGTGTTCTGTATCTAGGCTTTGCTGTTCCATTTATAGAGCACAGGCAGGGTGGATGTAGTGTAATTATTAAGGGCCCTAGGATTTTTAGAAGGTCAATGAGCATTGACTTCAACTTAAAATCACCAGCTGCATTAGCCCCTGACAAGAGAGTCAGCTTGTCCTTTGCAGCTTTGAAGCCAGGTATTGACTTCTCCTCTCCGGCTATGAAAGTCCAGGGTGGCATCTTCTTCCAATAGGAAGATATTTCAAATCTGCTACATTGAAAATCTGTTGTTTAATGTAGCCACCTTCATGAATTCTGTAGATCATTCCAGATAACTTCCTGCAGCTTCTCCATCAGCACTTTTGCTCTATCTTGCACTTTTATATTGTGGAGACAGCTTCTTAAACCTCATGCAGAACTTCTCTTCTGCAGTTTCCTTACCTCTCTCAGTCTTCATAGCATTCAAGAGACTTTGCTCTGGATTAGACTTTGGTTTAAGGGAATGTTGTGGCTAGTTTGTTCTATCCAGGTCACTAAAATTTTCTCCATATCAGCAGTAAGGCTGTTTTCTCTTTCTTATCACTCATGTATTCACTGGAGTAGCACTTTTACTTTGCTTTAAGAACTTTTCCTTTAGATTCATAGCTTGTCTGGCTATTTGGCACAGGAGGCCCAGCTTTCAGCCTCTCTTGGCTTCCTACGTGCCTTCCTCACTGAGCTCAGGCATTTGTAGCTTTTGATTTGAAGTGAGGGACGCTTCCTTTCACTTGAACACTTAGAAGCCATTGTAGGATTTTTAACTGGCCTAATTTCAATATTGTTGTGTCCGAGGGACTAGGGGAGGCCCCAAGAGCAGGACTGAGATGGGGAAATGGCCAGTGAGTGGAGCTGTTAGAATACACACACCAGTTCCATCCCTTAAGTTTGTTGTCTTATATGGGTGCAGTTTGTGGTATCCCAAAACGATTCCAATAGTGACATCAAAGATCGCTGCACTGACCACAGGTCACCAAGAAAAATATAATAATAATGAAAAAGTTTGAAATGCTGAGAGAATTCCTGAAGTGGG